TATTCGGAATATGGCCAACTACCTATAGTCCACTAGGCTTCGGCCTGAAAGCGATTTGACAGTTGGGAACGTTCCCTCGTTAGCTATTTTTAAGTATCAGTTTATTTCATTGATTTTGAAGTTATTTGGAGCTAATTCTGGAAATTTGAAAGTTAATCAAATATATCTCTATGCGTAGACAGCTTTTGTTGTTTCTGAGTAAGATTTGGTACAGTTAAAACTCAAGTGCACAAGAAAAGACAACAAAGATAATGTCAATAACAGCATTTCTACTACTATCGGCGTCAAAATTCAATGCACTCGGTTGTTTTTCGAATAAGTCTATAACCATAAAAGACAGGGACTTGCGCTTTTCAACAATCGAAAGAAGACGGTTTAGCCTGTGTTTTCATAAGCAAAACTCTTTTCCAAAATCATTCAGAAGATCTATTTTATAGGGGATCTTGGAAAAAGCACTTCGAATCTCGGGAAACTAGGCTAGAAATCTATCAGTTTTTTCCCATAAATAGATAGTCCAAAGTGTCTTCTCGAAAATGCGAACTATGTTAACTCTTAAGTTTTCTCGGTTCAGGTGTGACATCGGATTTCCTGTGAATCCCAGAACCAATATTTCTTTAGGTGTGGTAATTCCAAAAATAATGGAAACATAAGTAATCAACCATGCCGAATCCTGTGTCAATATTTGCTTTTCAGAAAACTTTCAACAACCTAGTGAAAACCTATATTAGGTGGAATAACCCACTTTGCCTATTTTCGAGTATAATTAAAAAATTCATAATCCAGTCAATTCATCCAAATTATGTCCGAATATTAAGCTATACTCTATTTTACATAATTATTTTGGAAAAGGGTTTTGCTTATGGAAACACAGGTTAAACTGTCTTCTTTCGATTGTTGAAAATGGCAAGTCCCGCTCTTTTATCGTTATAGGCTTATTCGAAAAAGAACCGAGTACATTGAATTTTTTTACAGATAGTAGGTATATCCGACTGTTGGTTTTTAACTAAAGTCTAATTTTTCTTACGACGACGTTCAAAGTTCGGATCGCGATTTTCTGCAGAGAAGTAGAAAACAGTCAAAAAAGCACAAAATATAAACTAATACTACGTTCGCGCTAAAATTGATTCACACTCTTAGAGTGTCACTTCGTCACTTCATTACTTCGAGTGTCATTTCGTCACTTCAAGTGTCACTTTATCACTTCAAGTGTCACTTCGTCACTTCAGTCATAAGTGTACACACTTCAAGTGAGGTTTTTCCCCCTTGGCAATATTCCTTTTCAATCGTTTTCTTGTTGATTCTTCTGAACTCGACGAATCTTGTTTTTGACAAATGATGTTTTTCTGGCTTGACATTCTTGTGCAATATGTCGATACATCAGAATAATTTTGGCGTAATTAAACTGACTTGAACAATACTTGCAACGGCATTTTCGATGATCGCCTGTTTTTGCTTGTCCATTATCCACAAAATGTTCCCAAATGTAATCACGATTTCTTTCAAGTTTCGGTGAATCACTATTGTTCTTTTGCGCACTGCTGAATTCTTCTTCGAAGTCACTCATTTTTTATCTTCCAAACTTTTTACAACACTCGATTAAACGTCTTATACCGGCAAAATGAGCATGTCTTCTTTTTTTCTTTCTTTCAAAGAACGAAAGTTTAGTAAGGTACATGTTATAAAATCTTCGTTTCTGTACATTTTCTTTTCCTCTTCGCATGCTTTATTATATTCGTTGTGCAAAAAAAATCCATGTTCGGCTTTATATTTCTTACTCTACATCATATAATAACAAAAACATACCCGATTTATAAATCAACTCAACTTTTAACTTTTCAAAATTACTTTTGAACACAAAAACGAATAAGTTATTCGTTTTTGTCACAAGTTTTCAATTAATAATTTGTTAAGAACCATATGATCATCTCTGCAATGTTAGACGTGAACTGAGTATGAATGCAAGAGTAAAAGAAAGGAGAGTTACGTTCTCTCTGTGAGAAGTAATTTAGAAGCTTTCTTTTCTGTTCCTCTGACATTCATCATCGCTTCATCTTTTACGATGTGCAAACACAGTTAATTTTATTTTAGAAATTAATATCCTAAGTTTTACCTCGGCAATCCTCAACGAACCGTCATGTGAACATTGAGAAAACGATGAACAATTGAAGTGAAAAAACATGAAAAATTTAAGTCGATTAAAACTCTCATTTCCGTAAACATGTTAGCTGTACGAACAACACTAATATACACTTCTTTTCAAACACATTTGGTTTCAAACACTCATTTCCTTTATGATGTTTAGTTCTTTATATCAAAGTCATTCTGCTAGCAGCATTTTTTATGAGAGTTCTGCTTGATAATGATGATTCTTAACATAATTACAACTTTTATAATCAAGTCGAGATGAAAGGTACCGAAGTTTGTATAAATATATCAGTTATTTTTCGAAAGAGGCATGCCGTACTCGAAATTAAATTATTGATGAAACTTTGAATATCTTCTACTAAGTCATCATAAAATAGATTCTGCACATAGAAGATACGTTTTTTTTCAGTTAACAAAATATAGAATATGAAAATATTCTTGGAGATAATATTGATTCTGCTGATGTCCTGTAGTCGTTACGAGCAAACACAATATCAGCGTCCGATTCGTTCATCGAATATTTATTTATCAATTAATTCCCGTTATGTACCATTCCGTCTGCCAAATTTGATTGAAAATGCAACGCATATTGATACACTAGTATTATGTGCACATACATGTTTAAACAATGATAATTGTAACACAGCCAATTATTTCCCAAATATTAAAGTATGTTCATTGTATACCGAATATTTGACAATGGGTCAGCTTCTACCAGATATAATCACTGTTATTAGTCTATCACAATGCCCAACAGGACGAAATTATCCCGGAGGAATATGTGCTCCACGTGAGTTAAAAACGATACTCTAGAATTAGAGTACTACTGGTTGTCTTGACAAAATATCGAATGCTCAATTAATAATGGACTTTTATTTTAGCACAAACATTCAGTTTACCATTACCTATTGTGCCCAATGGTACATGGAATCAAACAGGTGTTATTGTTGCATCTAATTTAAGCACTCCATACCAGGTTGCTGTCGATTCTGCTTTAAATGTATATGTGGTCAATTCTAGTCAAGGCACTGTATTAAAATTTTCTCCGAACAACAGTAAAAATTCAACGACTATAGCAAGTGGTTTAAATTTGCCCTTCTATACTTCTGTCGACTCTTCAGGAAATGTTTATGTGTCAGATTCTTTCAATCATCGTGTCATGAAATATCCACCTGGATCCGATCCTTCTACTGGAGGCATTGTTATTGCTGGTGGTCATGGCCCGGGCGGTGCCGCAAATCAATTAAACACCCCGTCCGGAATTTTCGTCGATTGTGCAGGTACCGTCTACATTGCGGATCGTCTTAATAATCGGATTCAACGTTGGTCTGTCAATTCGACTACCGGTGTCACTGTAGCCGGTAGTAGTTCGGGTGTGAGTGGAAATGATTCAATGCATCTTAATTTACCACTGGATGTTCAGTTCGATAATACTGGGAATATGTACATTGCTGACCACAACAACAATCGTATTCAGAAATGGTTACCCTTTGCTAGTTCTGGAACAACAGTAGCTGGAAATGGTACTCACGGTAGCAGTTTTAATGAGGTCACCCCAGTAATGATGTTTGTTGATAGTTATATGAATATTTTTGTAGTAGACAACAGTAATAATCGCATATTAAAATTTTCTTCTGGAGTAATCAATAGCACAGTTCTACTGACTCTGGCGGGCGCAGAGGGTTTAGCCATCGATAAGCTTATATGTGCCGAGCGGCACCGCGGTTCGTAAATACTCGTTTATACCATCATAGTCCTTTTACGAAAACCACTAATACAGTATTCACGCAGAATGGTTGATTAATGACAACTTTGAAATCTAACTATATCCTCGAATTTTTTATTTTATTTCATACGCTCATTTTTAAAGATTTCTTCGATCGAAATGTAAGCTTATCCGTAGTATACTATAGTTTATAATTTAATGGCAAGGATTTCACAACGAATGTCGATTATCACAGATGTTATTTCAGACATAGAATGTTTATTTCATCGTATTCGGAATGTATTAATAGAGTTTAGAAAACGGATCGAAGCGTAAACTATAATATTTTACCTATATAGGCAAATTCTTCATGTAAATACGAAAGCTAAACATATTAGAATTGCCTTATTTATTATTCTGTTACGATTTTCAAATGTTTTCCATTAGAGACTAATTACTTTTAGAGTCTTGAATCTCGGAAAGCAAATTCCAAAAACAGGTGCGCTTAATTGATTGTGGAGTCGACTGACCAATTTAATGATATTGTTTCGTTCGTGCAAGTGAATATCCAGTTCGTCTAGTGCAACACGATGATAACAAGCTTTTAGAAAGTTTTTAATGTGCCTATTAAAATAACAGTCTAATGGCTGTAGATCGGCAGTAGTATTCTGCGGAATTTGCAAGCGTGTTATCTGTTTGCCGCTGCAGTTTTGAGGCTGAAAGGTTTCTTCTCGACTTTGGCCATGGTAACTGCCAGAGAGTAACAAACATTTGACACCGATCAATGGCAGAAAACAGTTATCTCTCCAATATTCAACTACTGATGTTGTGAGTTTGCCTGAAGAAGAACATGTTATAACAACGTTTTTCGGCTGAAACAGGTTTCTGTTCACTTGTTCTCCCATTTTGCCTTAATTAACGAAAAAACGAATGAGAGAACTTTGAAGAGATTTAGATTATGCACAACTTACCGCCTGGCTCTTGTAAGCATAGATAAATAGTTGCTAAAAGTTTTCCGTCTAGTGAAATAGTTGGTCGTAAAGTGTAGGAGTGTGTCGTGGCATTTTTTTACTGCACAGCACCAAAGGTTTTCTTTTCGCCAATGAAAGTGATAGTCCGACTTGAGTGCAATTCTTTTTTCACACCCGTCTGATCTGTGTTAAAAGTTTCAGAAGGTGTAAAATGAGACGAAATCTTATTATATTCTTTAAGAAAGTCTTGTTTCGATTTTTCTATAGCATCAGATTTTCGACCTGATGATGCGAAACGAAGTTTGTAATTTTATGAGAGACTAACCTATGGCGAGCTTTAAAATTTTGCAAACCCTTTTGAGAAGCACGAAATTCCTCAAGCTTCATTTCTCTGGCTATCCGTAAACCCCACCGTTGTATGTCCAAATCATGAACTGCCAGGCTTTTTTCTCGTGCATCAATTAACTTTTTGTAAAGTAGCTCGTCCAGATTTTGCGTTTTTTGTCTTTTAGTTCCATAATCCTCAAGATATTTTCGGAAATGGGGAATATAATGTCCGTTTGGGATTGTTCTAAATCTATGATGAATTGCCTTCCAAGAACGACCATGTTTACTTCCAAATTCCGCATGATCAACGAAATCAATTACTTGACGCATAAAATCCTCTGAAAAACTTTTTAAATCGTATTTTTCTAACACTAATTCTTTGTTCGTCCAGTCCTCGTCCACTTCTTCCTCTTCATGTTGCTCTTCTTCCTCACTATCTTCTTCGTCTGTAAATCCAGCAAAATCTATGGTTGCTTCTTCGTCATAATCAACCTTCTATCCGCTGACCATAAGTTTTACTGGATCGGCAAGATATTCAGCCATTTGCCGCTCCTGTGACGTAACTGGAGACGGCTCTTTATTGGATAATTCACGAGAAACTAAATCAGTCAAAGTTGAGACGATATTCTGTGCGTTCATTTTATTTTCACGTGAAATTATAAGAGATCGTTTAACTGAACGGATACTTCTCGCATTTCCGAACCGCATTTCGCGTTGACTGTTCTATTTTCAACTCACACTTCGATGTGAGATTAAATTTTACAAATAGTTTCAGAAACTATTCTTCTCAAGCTTATTATACTATCGGCTTCTTCAACGTACTGAATCATTCAGCTTATCTCCTCGCAAATTACCTACTATAAGGCCTCTGGCTATTTCTTGAATAACTTCTTGTCGATAAAAGCTAGTGACAAACGCTTTTCGCTATTCAGAAAGTAGACGAATTTTGCTACATAGTTATATGAAAGTCCGGCCACACGGACCATCTATAGTGGTAAGCCTTGCCAGTCTTTGAAAGAGAAGGATGCCAATTCCCCTAAAACGGTTGATTCCAAGACGACCAAAAGATAGCCCAAGATAAGACCTACAATTCTGGACTACTCTCAGCTCGCTAACTTTCAAGGTCAGGGAACTGGGAGATTTTTCGGACAGGACCTGTTTCCAGTCCGGACAAGCCTGTGAAATTCGAAATAGGCCGAAACATAGGTAATCGAGTGCGCTGAACATCGTGGCAATCTTTATTTTTTATTAGCACCTGAACAGAGATAGCCGCGGGCTTTTTTCTTAAAACCCGAGTTTTCGCCTATGAACCAAGAATGTTTCAACTGTCGTAGCTTAATCATTTTTCATCAGAAATGACTGAAATTTTTAGGAGATACTCACAAAAGCTTAAAAAAATTATTAAAATGAAAAAGTTTTAAATTTGAACTTTTGAAGGGTGAGATTTTCTAGGAGGTTTCTAGAAAATCTTAGACATTTTAGCGTTCCCAAATAAAGTTGTATCGCTTTGAAAGTCTTTCTTTACTGATTGTGAGTGTCCGTTAAAAATTTCAGTCATTTCTGATGAAAAATGATTAAGTTACGACAGTTGAAACATTCTTGGTTCACAGGCGAAAACGCTCAAACCACGAAAAAACAAAATTTTGGCATATTTTTCAAAGTACACCCATTTTGCCCCAAAAAAGTGTGTGTCACTGTTTTGAATTCTTTTCCGCCAAAAGTATTTTTTTAAAATTAAAAACTATTTTTATAGTTACTCGCATAGCGTTTCTTTAACCTTTCCAACCAGCTAAGAGAAAAACGAAAAAAAGATCTTTGCTATGATTTTGAATTAACGGCACCTTACGTTTATACTCAAAGACTTTCTTAAAATCCTGGCTGCTTAAAATTAATTCAGAACCATGATCTCCTGTTTGTCTTTCAAGTCAGAAACTCAGTACTTGTCTTCTAATCAGGGTTTAAAGAATTTGTTAAGATAAAAATAGATACATAGAAATATAGCAAAAATTTTTCACTAATCATTTCCATCTCTAGTAAAACAGACAGAAAGAGTTAGTCTACGAGAGGCTATAGAGTATGTCTACATCATTAGCTTTTTTTTTAAAGGTGTTGCCGTATCTAGGACGAAGTCAACAGTACAGCTGGGCATGCACCAGTTATATAACCGGTATTATGGCATCCAGGAAAATTGTTATAACGCCATTATTAAGGGTTACTCAGACTTGCGGAACATCTCGTTTTGTAGACAAATGTTTGTTGTATGCATTTGTTGAAACAAAAGAGGTTAAAGTTAATTGTGACAAAAGTATGAGTAATTCTTAAATGCCGCAACTGTACGTGGTAACTGGTCGTCAGTTACATAAAGGTTCATGCCTCTTCGGTAATTCATTAAGAACACTTCTCCCTTTCAATCTTTAATTTTATCTTCCCTACAAATGTATAGAACAAACATTTGTCTACAAAATGAGATATTTCGCAAGTCTGAGCAATTATTAATAACTTCTTATTAATAACTTCTTCTTGAATATATCTGAACAACACACTACGTCATTTTCTTCTCTCTATCTTTGATGTTCGTATGAATTCGATGAATGATGGGCGTATCGATCATTTTTCCCCTTTTTTCATGATTTCTTTTCTTATCCTTGTCTTTTTTTATATACAATAGAGTATGCACAGACCATGTGAAGAGAATGTCGATGAGGTTTACATACACAATAGATTGAAGGATGCCTGCAGCATTTATTCTTTGCTTTGCTCTGATCATCATCATCACTACAATACACATCTTTACTACTACAGAACACCTTTAATAACAGGTTGTCGTCCCCATAGACAAGTTAAGTAAAAAATATTATTCTTTGTTTTTAGATAATGAAAACATAATGAAATTAACCGCCCTCTTTTTTGAAAGACACACTGGACATAGTCTAACAATACCTTTTGATTTTGCTCATTCATTCGAATGAACATTGGGTTCTAAGCAGAAGTATTTGAACAACAAGAATGGATAATTAATAAATATCTAACAATATTTTGAACTAAAGATACTTTTTTTCCTGTCCAAAATTCAATTTTTACTATGTTGGGGACTGTAATCAAGTAGTGTCAAGTGCGATTGTACTTGACATGACGTACTATCATCTGTTAATCGATATCTGTTACTCATGATCCACTGCTAATCTTTACTTTAAAAACGTACTTATCATGTTGAGTGCTGAACGCTCTTTGTCACAAATATGTAAAATACACAAAAATTTGTCAACTTCTTCTGTTGAATAAGATTCTTGAAGTTCATTTTCAAAATAACTGATTATCATCGTTCGCACCACAGATAGAATCATAAACACTACTTTCTATAGGACCTTACGAAATGAAAGTTTCCCAACTGTTTCTTCTTTTTTCTGCGTAACAATAATAGGTTATAGATAAAACTTGTGCCACTAATCTGTTATTCATATAGACTGCTACGTTCTAGAGCACATCAGATTATCTATGGATATAACTTTTTCGAGTATAATCACTTGTCATGATAAACTAAGAATTTTGTCAACCTGTCAAATGAAACAGGTGAAACAGAAAGTTTTTACGATTAAAATTTGATAACTTGATTCATACATATTTGGTAAACTTCAAAATAAGAAAAAATAGGTAAATTGTATGTGCTCTATAATACAGGAGACTTGAGATTTACTTTTTAAAAAATGTTGTGAGAGCAGTTTTCACTCAAGAATATACTATGAGTATTATCCATTTCAAAAACGAAAAAGGATGGCCATTTCTTGAATAACTTCTGATTAGTACGCGATGAACACAAACGGTTGGTACCGTTAGAAAGCTCAGAACTTCTGCTATCCAACCGCATATTTAGTCGATTTTCTGTATTTTTCCATTGGTGTTTCCGTACTCACTTTTCATTGTGAAGTCACTAAATGGGATCAAGAAAGATTGAAATCGAATTTTGACATCACCATTAGATTCGTCGTGAAAAGATCTTCAAAATGAGTGGTCACCTCAGTGCTCTTTACAGCACGTTTTAGTGAATCAGCATTCAATGTACGGAAAGACCTACGCTTGTTTTCCCGTTAGTTTTGCTGGTACGGCACGGTCCGTAAATTCAATGCTGATTAAGCGGCGCAGTATTTAATACCCAAACACGGCTGCCAAGCTTCGCTAAGTTTTCTATTAAGATATCTTGCAGAGACTTGCAAGGTACATCGAATGATGTATGAATGATTAGAGATCCTCTTTAGTTTCATACGAAAAGTGACCGACAGTTCGAGTAGCATAGCGGCGACCTATGAAAAATCTAGTATTTGATTCACAGAACCTGCTGCCAGGCTTCATTAAGTTTCTTATTAACACATATCGCAGAGGTTTTTAAGGCGCATCGAATGATATTTGAATGATTAAAGATCATCTTTAGTTTCATAGAGAAAGGTGATGGTCAGTTCGAGTAGCATAGCGGCGACCTATGAAAAAATCTAGTATTTGATTCATAACGGCCGCTGCCAAGCTTCGTTAAGTGTCCTATTAACAGATATTGTAGAGCTTTCCAAGACACATCGAATGATAGTCGAAAACCTACAGAAAAAATTCGTCCAGGTTGAAAAAAATGCGAAACAAGGGGCCATTTTTTCTCACTATTCTATTGGAAAATCGACCAAATATACGGTTGGATAGCAGAAGTTCTGAGCTTTCTATCGATTCCAATCGTTTGTGTTCATCACATACTAATCAAAAGTTATTCAAGAAATGGCCATCCTTTTTCGTTTTTGAAATGGATAATAGTTAAGTGAAAATATACTGATAGCACTTACAGTACTTCAAAAGAAACAGTGAAAAGAACGTAACGAATATAATATATTACGCTATACATAATAGCGTTATTTGATGATATCTGAATACAAATATGAGTGCATGGTAAGAAAGCTGAACGCATGAAAACTGGAAGCGGCGAAAAGCTACGACGATGAAAAGTTGCAAAAAATGAATGGATGAAAAGCTAAAAGGATGAAAAGTTGAAAGAATGAAAAGATGAAAGGATGAAAAGTAGAAACGATGAAAAGTTAAAAAGATAAAAGTGGAAAGGATGAAAAACTGCAAAAGCTGAAACGATGAAAAGTTAAAAGCTGAACTAAAAGGATGACTTCTAGAAATGCATCTAAGATGCTAGATAGTTTATAGTATTTTCGAAAAGTATAGAAGCTAAAAGATAGCTAGGTGCAGACAAGTTTTGAAAATTTCGAAAACATTCAAAAACATAATTCTCCCACCCCTCTTGCTTTTTAGTAACCTGAGCTCATTTTTTTATTTACTGGCTTTTTAGTGCTATCAGTTATTCTAAAGTTAAATTAAACTATGCTATTTTGCCTTTTTAAGGCAAAATAGCAACGAAATTCGTTCTATCAGACCACTGATAAAAAAGTGTGTCACGCCGTCACAATTATTTATTGACATTTATAAGCGAGGGAAAGGCTTTGGAAGAAAATTTTTTTAATATTGGATAGTTCGTACGTTTCTCGACAACCTTCGCTCTAGACAGCTTCCATTTGCTCAAGTAATTTCGCAGGAAAACTGCACAAAATGGCGGTAGAATCATCCTTCTACCTCTTATCGTTTTTATAAAAACTGAAAAGTACTCTGTCAAAAATGTCACGCCGTTACGTTTGGACAAGCCGAAATGAAGAACACACGTTTTATACATA